TGACTTTGATGTCAAAAATAACAGGACATTTTTTCTTTTAAGGATAATATTTGTAAGTCAATGGATAATATTGATTAAATGGACGGCTTGAAGTGAACAACAAATATTTTCCAAAGTTATTTCATTAGTACTACACTTACAAGAATATACATGCCTAATAGCTGAAATTGTTTATTGCTATTTCTCGTTTCAGAATCCTTGGAAATTATTCCGCGTAGTGCAGAACTATAGAGAACACGTGACACGAAATAATAGCCAGCAATACTTCTAGCCATTCAGGCCATTTCTCGCAAATAGCCAGCCGTTGGTTGTACATGGCCATCTGGGATTGTGACACAGGTTGTGAATTTACATTTAAAGCAGTGACCATGGAGTATAAAATTTACAACTACAATCACAGTAACCTAGTTTTTTGCAACAAAAGACGAAGAATCTTTCTTTTAAAGTGTTTGAAGAATTTGTTAACACAAATCATACTCTTGCTACAATAACGTAAGCCACAGGATATCATATGTCAAAAGTGCTTTCATAACATGAACAATTCCGTAAATATGAAATTTTACAACTCTCTTAATTTAACCCCACAAGGATGTAGTACGAAAGGAGTACGTCTAGGTTCAGGAGGGTCATTACTACCCCATATTTCATTTACATTTTTTGTAACTCCTCCATTCTCCACAGTGTTTGAAGATCCGCTTATAGGGGTACGGGTACACTATTGCACTCGTCCGCGCCTCCACCAGCGACTAACTTAACCTAACCTAACCGAACCTTATCGTGTCTTTGCGATAAACACCCAACACATCCTGAAAGAGCAACGGTTTCGTTATAATTCTGTTTTCGGTGTAATGAAAATTCAAACAAACGTTATTTCGGAAAAAGAATTCGAGTTTGTGATAGGTTACCGTGTTTAGACTTACGGTGCCGAGACGTGGACGCAAGATAGATAGATAGAATGAGAGTCGCACAAAAAGCCATGGAGTGCGTCATGCTCGGCATCAATCTAATAGATCGACTTCCGAATTTCGAAATGCGTAGACGACCTAAGGTCTAGGACATAGGATGTCGGATAACGAGTTTAAAATGGAGCTGGGCGGGACATGTAGCGAGACGTGGTGAATGCAGGTGGAGTAAGGCGATAACCGAATGGTGGCCAAGAAATGGATATAGAAACGTGAGACGTCCTGTGGCGAGATTGGTGGACGACATTGTCAAAGTAGTTGTGGGCAGTAGATGGGTGAGATTAGCACAGGATCGTGGTGGATGGCACAAACTACGGGAGGCCTACACCCAGCATTGGGTGAAGTCGGGCTGTGGATGATGATGAGTGTATTCATTACAAAAATACAGTTTGTTGTACAAATTTTATAATCATACTAATTTTACTAAATGTCTACGAAGTATTCGACTTTGGTAGGTCTTTTCGTTCCACGCTATAAAAAATTCCGTGTATGTGGACTCAGCAAAAATATTATTTTCTTTTAATAGTTCAATATGAATTCAATTAATTTGATAGTATAACGTGATATCACTAATATACAGCATAAAAAACTGTACTCGACCAAAAATTTGCTGACTAATAATGAGCCCTCCTCATCCTCGCAGGGTCAAATATAAAAACAGAACTTCTCATTCAGCCGGTAACCGTTCTAAGATTAAATAGGAGCCATAAATTAAAAAAAAACTTTATTCCAAAATACAGAAAAAATTATACAGTGATGTGCTTAGCTCCCAAACTAGAATCCCCTGTATTATGGGCAGCCAGGTCTTATGTCCGTCAAGTGTGTTGCCTCAAAATAACATTAACTGTCTATTATAATAAACTTATAAAATATGATTGGTATACCATAACACTTAAGAAATGAAACTATTTTTCTGGATTTAAATCGCGTACTTTTGTTTTTTCAAACAAACGAAAGGTTTGGTTTAATTTCCTATGTGTAACAATCGCGAAGACCCAAGAATTCGATATACCAAAACACTGTTTTATATTTACTTTCATTATAATTATTAATACAAAGATCGAACATTTACAAAAAAATTCCTTTGATCCGGGCGGATTCGAATCGACGTCTTCTAGCAAACCGTGCCAGACGCTATCCCAACTAAGTCACTGAAGAAATCGGCGGGCCTGGGCCTCACGAATTTTTATATGTGCTTTTTGTTAGATTTTTGCTTTCACTTTTATTCTTAAAAAAATATTATCGACTCCGGTGCAGAATTTCAGACCAGAATTGTCCATGCTTTTAAAACTAAAAAGAATTGCCACAATTTATTAACAAAAAACAATGCAATTTTTTTTTACAGAAAAGTTTTTATTATTATAATTTGGAATGTCTAGCGTAATTGTTTTAAAAAGAAACCGACACTTATTTTTCGTGTTACTATCTTTATGTTCGTAGAATATTTGAACCTCTGTCCTGAAAAATTATCATTTTACATATGTGACCTTATTACACCAATGGTGAGAAATATCTGTCAACAATGTCTGTTCAATATAACAATAAACTTATCACTTTTCTTTGTTAGCCAAGAAACAAACGAACAATACATTTTACCAAACGATTTGAGTTTAGGTACTTAGCATTCAAAAGAAAAATCATTTAAATATTAAATCTTTTGGTTATTAAAATACTATTATTATAGTATTTTACAGAATTGTTGCATAATAAGGGTTCTTAAAGTTAGTAATAGGTACGGATTTTAAGATCAAATTATGTAATGATTGTTTATAATACTTTTTCTACGAGTAAATAAAATGATGAAACACAACCAATATTTAATTTATGTTTTGTTAACGATCCATGACAACCATCGAGTGTATAACCAGAAATAGAGACGAAATGTCATTTAATTTGTTTGAAAACTATTCTGCCAAATCATTACGGTGACAACTGCGCTCCAATTGGCCAGCCCGAATTCGAAACAATTGACGGGTGACGTCAATTGTTTCAATTTAAAATGACCAAATTAACTTGAGCTTTGCTATAATGAACGAAAATTGAAAAATTACATATATACAATCGAGTTCTTAGGTATTCGCGATTGTTACACATAGGAAATGAAACTACTTTTCCGGATTTAAATCGCGTATATTTCTTTTTTCATGGGATCTGTAAAGGGCCCGAAACGTCGGTTTGTTTGAAAAAACAAATATACGCGATTTAAATCCGGTAAAATAGTTTCATTTCCTATACATATATAATTACCGTTGAAATGTAATGCCGTTTGTTTTGTAATTAGATGTTTTGCTGATTTTCCCACACCACCGAATAGAACAGCCCCCTTTGTTAGAGATATTATATCAATAAATATTATTACAATAAATACAGAATATTTTTTGGAATATACGGAGACGTACACACAGGTCAGTTGATGGCGCTGTACTATTTCAGTTTTCTTATTTGTGATTTCAGCGCAAACGAGAGTTGATATTTAAAAGTGATATAAGTCCCGTTTGCCTGATGAGTTGCCGTTGACTTAGATGGATGGTCCTAATTTCGTCTCTATTTCTGGTTATATACTCGATGATGACAACAGACTCAAACGAAAGCCAAACAAACGAATATTTTTTTTATAAAGGTTTATGGCCCTGTTGCAAGACCTTTCGGCCAATTTAACCAATCAGGAGGCAGAAGATCGTTTGAGTAGCGTCGTATTTCAAATTTACAAAATAAATATAAAACAAAAGTACGACGTTCTTTTTTTGAAACTCAATAAAGAATTTTTTCAGCTAAGTGGCGAGTACCATAGACAATAAAATTTTGATTCAGAACTAAAAAGAGCGCGTTTGTGGTAATGGTTTATGAAGTTAAAATTGACAAATTGAAGCACACGGACAGGAGTAGAAAAAAATATTTATCTACCTAAACGAGAGAGCAAAAAGTAAACAACAAAGTATCAATTATGCGCTCACAAAACCGATGAATTTATGCATGAACTGGTCGAGAAATTCTCATCTCGAGTTGCAGGATAAAGGAACAATAGTTTTAATCGCGCCTTCTTTTTTGTCATTTTTTTATTTTTTCTCTGGCCGAGATCCAGTTCGTGTGCGGCGGGATTTGGGCCCCTGCCCCTCCTTCCCTAACCCTCTTTTCACTGGCTCCAGGCTGACGTGACATGCGAATCGCACGCGCAAGCTTTTTCAACGCCGTATAATTTGAAGCTTCAAAATCCAGACGTTCAAAGTACGTTGACACCTTGTTATTTAGCCGCGCTTCAATGTTAACGTAGAACTCAATAATAAAATGTACAAGCACGGTGTGAAAGCTCATTTTTGTACAAGATTTTTCTAAGTTTAATAATAATAATATGTAAGTTAACCATACCAAATGCATGATCCCAAAGTAGAGAATCCACGGAACTGTAAATATTGGAGCAACGAACGACGAACCAATTTTGAAAATATCCTCCTCGTCTGGCACTTACAGTACTAATTGCAGAGCCACCGAAGTCGCCAAATTTTACACTTAAGTTTGACTTCTGTACCATTAAAGCAAAATGTAAGCAATATCATGTTACAAATTTGTAACAGAATGTAGAATTATTTGAAATAGTACCAAACTCATAAGGTAACCAAGCAAAAAGAAGTATCAACTGATGAATTCGTAAGAACGAATGAATGAATGCTTATTTGAAAATACAAACGATAGTTACGCAATATTGCTATGAAATGCGGAAGTTTCAAACAATACAGTCACATATCTTGTAGCAAAACTTTGGAAACTTTACTCGATTCCATGTACAGATTATACACTTACAAATAGATTAGACATTATCTATTAGTATACACGACTATTTAAAGTAACAACTTAATACGAGAGCCTTAATAAATTACAAGAGACGGCAAGATGCTTTATAGATTTTAGAAGTAGATTACCGAATCTGTGCAAAAACATAGATCTTATAAACTTTATCCATGGTGAAAATTCATTAAGAAAATATTAAAAACAATAATGACGCAATTAGCAATATTTTTCAAAATTGTAATTAAAACCTACCTCAAGTTAAAACACCCCATCACTGCAGCATGCCCAAAAAACGTTCGTTTGAAATTCCTTGAAAAAAATCACTTAACTATCACCACTACTGCACGTGTCGATTTTTTATTGTTTCGATTAAAAAAACGAAGAGAAAAGTTTTAAAATTCAAATTTGGCGCGCGAGTTCGCGCAGTGGCGCCGGCGCACACACAGCGGACTAACGGAGTGTACTGACGCGCAGCCTCCGGGGCACCGAGTGGCGATAGCAACAGCGCATCTTCGCCCCACCACTGCGCACCATTCATGAAAACCGCCACTCAATGAATTTGGTCTTTGCCTCCAATACAGCTTTCAGCAGTGAGCATAGATATCATTGGCTTTCAGTACGAATTTCATCTTTCCTACAGTATATTTTTTATCGAGTGCCGCCTTCAAATTACTTGCTGTAACAACCGCTGATCATACGCATTAAAAAGTTGATCAAAATATCTTTTCGCTCTATTTTGAGCTGTTTTGAAAAAAAGAACAAAGCTAAAAACTCCGTCTACGTAAAAACTTTATTGTTCTAAGGCACAAGTAATTGTGAATTAATGCCAGATGTCAAAGTTGTCAAAGTTAATCATCCGAAACTGAAAAATTAAATCGTAAAATTCCACCCATAAGACCGCAGTCAATTCTGAGAATTCACATTACAATATAACAAAATACTTATAGCAAAACATCACGGCTGAAAATGATAAATCTATAGGTTACCAACCAACCGTAAGCCAAAAGAATTGTTCCGACGTCTCTACAAAGATCGAAGTTCAAAGGAAACTAGAAAGTTATCGAGGATATTAGAAATATGGGAGGACGGAAGCTGAAAACCGAGCCAGGCCCTTGAACGATAGGGCCAGTATTTTGGCAACCTTTCGCAATCACTATCTAGGCTAGGCACGGAAGCTGCGTTTGCGCAAGGGGCACAGGATGTACGCGCGTGGGCCTATCTACGTCCGGCCAATCGCGCGGATCCGACATTACGCCAAAGAACTTATGAGTCGATTCAGATACCGTTTCTGTTGGAACTGCAGATGTCAAAACGAGTACCACGATGTGCACAATAACTTCAATGGCCCTGACACAGTTAAATCGATATTTAACAAAGCTGTCACAATTTACACGAAGAACCTAAATCAATAGGGCCAAGATATTGATAGCTGAAGTCATAAGTGCATTGAAAACGTTCGACACCATTTTAATAATAATATGAAAATTGTATAAAATTTCAAATTGGTAAGAATAATTTCGTTCACCATTTTATCATTTAATAATGCAATCTTAATCTATGTAAATAAAGCAATTGAAACGAAGTATATTTAAATGATAAATAATTATCACAATGTTATATCAAATTTAATAATAATGATAATAATGATGATGAATTTATCGTTGTTATTATTTGCTTAAAATAATATAATGCTCAAATAGAAAGGGGATTTAGATTGCAATAGTCTAAATAGGATTTAGGAGACTTAACAAAAACGTACAACCAATTTTAGTCGATTACAGTGATCTAAGTTTCTATTCGCCTGGTACATTTTGCGTGGCTTTTTTAAATATCTTGTTCGAGTTTACAGCCAAAAAAGGGTGCATTATTTCTGTCATTTAATCAATTAACGTCAGCGTGACGACTTACACATAATACCTATCCAATCTATCCATGAAACCATCTCACATTTTCAGATTGAACAGACTTAAGAAGAGCTGTGTGTGCTCTACTTGAAATCGACACATTGTTTGCATTGCTTTGTGTTGATGTTTTTTTAAATTCTTTCCATTAAGGAGGGAAAGGTTTAAAACCATACAGCCAAGTCTTCGTGAATTTTTCTTTTGCTGATCTTAGGATAGACATTGGCCATTTCTTCAGTTCATTATATGTGAATTGTATGGTGCAGCGTCAAGAGCCGGAACAATCTTAACACTTAAGATTTAAATTCAATAAAACTGTGTGCCGTTTGTGAGAAGAGTCCAGGGCCTGTGTCATTTCCTTAAATATCTTTAAATAAAAATAAAATCTATATAGGAAATGAAATTATTTTTCCGAATTTAAATTGGACTAATTATATCATATATTATAATTATATTATAAGATAATATTGGACAAACAAAGCGAAGTATTTGTACCCGCGTCAAAGAACATATCAGCTGATGTCAAACACCGTCGCGTAAACAAGTCTGCAGTCTGCGAGCATGTCATGGATAAACCTACACATTCAATGAAGTTTGACAAACCCCAGGTTCTTGCAAAAGAAGTCTGTTATCTACCCAGGATGCTGCGAGAGGCCATTGAAATTAAAAAACATCCTAATTTCAACAGGGAAAATGGTTTCTCCGTACCACCAGTTTGGGATCCAGTATTTCCTCTAATGAAAAATCCCAAACAGACATAACTCTGCAGTACTAATAATATGTTCTAGTTTATTCTAATTTGTATTAATAATTAATAATAAATTAAACTTAATAAAAATTTATTCAATAAAATAATTTGTAAAACTTAATGTAGCATAAAATTGGAATGTTTTCTTTGTAAAATTGAAAATAAGATATTTAATTAATAACTATTGTAACTATAGTGAAAAAATAAGGTTGGTTTGCATTATTATTAGACATAACTGGTTGAAGACTGTACCACCTCAGTCAACCGTGACCATGGAACCTGTAAAGGGCCCGAAACGTCGGTTTGTTTGAAAAAAGAAATATACGCAATTTAAATCCGGAAAAATAGTTTCATTTCCTATGTGTAACAATCGCGAAAACCTAAGAACTCGATATAAAATCTATAATTATATGTTAAAATTTATTTCTAGTCCTTGTGGCGTATTCGTATAAATCGTAGTTTCTTGAGCAGTTTCGTTGTAGATTGAAATTTTAAATTTAAATATACTTATTTTTGGCGCCTTTTCCTTTTTTAAGTCATTGTTTTCTCTATTTCGTTCGTACTTTACTTCATTAGTTTTAGTAAACTGTAACTTGTACATTTCCTTTGGCCTTGCTCATTCTTCATTAGCACCCGAACCCTATTGGTAGTCCGCTACAGTCCAAAATACATAATATTACATGTAGTTAACTCATGCTTATTACAAAACTTCATAGTTTTATCACAAAAACCAGATGCATTGGTCAATTTCCTATTACATGCATAATGTATGCTAAAACAAAACATGCTTTGTTACATACAAAATCGGTAAACAACGTCAATTTCATGAAATGAAAAATATATATTATTCTTCTACTTATTCTAAATTGGTTGCCATCCATCTTTTTTTCATTGCAAATTTCTTCTTCATCATCTTTTCGGCTAGGGCAAATGGGCTCTTTCAAATGATGAGATTGAATATAGAAAAACAAAAAGTGGCGGGTTTTTGACGTTACAGATTTTACACAAATTAATTTTTAGCTCACGTTTTATTAAGTGTTGAGCTTTTTAATTATTTAAATTTGTATTGAATTGATATTCAATTATATTTTGTGAAATTACTCCACTAGTTTGTTATAATTATTCATACAAAGGTCGAACACTTACAATTATTAAGCTGACGATGCCTCTATAGCCAATGCTCAATAAATAAGTGAGCCTTGACTAGAAAAAGGTTTTTTTTTATGATATGGTGAATCGTGCGCCTGGTGCTAAGCGACGCACCTGTCCATAACAGTTGCAGTGCCACTCAGAACTTTAAATCGCAAAGATCTGAGGGGCACCACCACTGCGCCCGGCACCCTGAGACCTAAGTTGACAAGTCTCATGTGCCTGTAATATCACCAGCGTCCTTACCCTTCAAAACCGAAACGCAGTAATTAATGCTCACATTACTGCTTGGCGGTCGAAATAGGTAAGGCGGCAGTACCTGTACGAACTTTTTCACAACGAGCTCTACCGCTACTACAAAGGTTAAGAAACCCTGTTTTATAAGAATATAAGATAAGAAGTGGCCACATACGTACTAGGTAATCACTGTGACTGTACTAGGAGTACTAGGTATGAGGTACTAGGAGTTCAACAGTGGGAAGGGTTAATAGATACTTCACATTGATATTAATAAATGTTTGAACTTTTAATTTTCTGCGTTGACCTTTTTCCGTCCTGTAAATCGTTGACAGGCGACATTGTTTTTATATTTTGAGACTTAGATACCGGGAGTGTTACCAGGAAAGCTAGCTCGGTAAGAATTTATCCTGGAAGTGCCCAGATGGGGACGCACTTTGCATTACGAAATACTTCACAACAACAATACAACAAGTATTGTGATAGGGGAACGTGGTAGGGGAACAATACAACAAGTATTGTTCCCCTATCACGTGTACTTTAAAAAATATATAGCATAGGAAATGAAACTATTTTTCCGGATTTAAATCGCGTATATTTGTTTTTTCAAACAAAAAAAGGTTTGAAAAAACAAATATACGCGATTTAAATCCGGAAAAATAGTTCCATTTCCTATATGTAACAATCGCGAAAACCTAAGAACTCGTTAATATGTAACATTTAAAAGAAAGGCAAAAACATTTAGGCTTAGTTGGTATAGCGTCTGGCGCGGTTTGCTAGAAAACGTCGGTTCGAATCCGGCCGGATCGAAGGAATTTTTTCAAAAAGAAATGGAATCTAAAAAAAGATCTCTTTCGGAAAAATTCCTTTTTTAAAATAACTTTGTATTAATAATTATAACAAACCAGCGGAGTAATTTCAGAAAAAAATTGAATATCCATTCAATACAAATTTAATTACAGAAAATAGCGACATCTCTCGCCAGGGCTGGTAACTGTAAAATTATTTAACTGGGTGAAGAAATACTTTCATAGATTTCTCATAGATGGCGCTACGGCTAAAAAGTCGTTGAAAAACCAAATGCAAAGACCCGACAACAAGCACATGGAAAAAATCGTGAGGTCCGCTGGTTCGTTCTGTGGCTTAGTTAGCATAGCATATTAATAATTATAACAAACTTGTGGAGTAATTTCACAAAAAAATAATTGAATATCCATTCAATACAAATTCAATTACAAAAGCATTTAGTCGAATGTTTGCAATTATATACAATAATAATTAAAATGAAACAAGGAAATTAACTTTTTTTCTGACCCAAGTTACGTATATTTGTTTTTTTTAAAAAACAAACCGAAACGAAAGTTCCGAAACGTCTGTTTGTTTGAAGATACAAATATACACGATTACATTCGAAAAAATTGTTCCCTTTCAAATGTACAACAATCACAAACTCAGAGAAACGATAAAACAAGCAACTTAGGGAAAAACAATATAAATAAGAAAAAATTATGTATTTAATTATAGCCGAAAAGTGGTTTCCAGATGGAGATGCACTTCGACAACTTATTACCTACTATAAAAAAATATTTCCATCTCTCTATTTATTCGTAATCTTTGAAATCCAAACGTCATCAAAATAACACTAAACAAATGAACCGATTTTCATTGTCATTTTCAATTCCAATATATATGTAAGAAGAAGTCACATTTTTTCGTTCATGCACATTTAGGTGTTCGTCCAAATTATACGTTCCCGTTGAATATTATTTGTTGGTAAAATTCCTTTAGTGTCCTGAGAATGTGTGATGATAATTGTCAAAATTTGAAGCCAGATAAGATCAGATGCGACCCTTGCCGAACTATCAATCTTGCGCGGGTCTCGGAGTACCCGACCCTCAGCTCTAAACCATGCGTCGCTCCAAGTCCGTGTCTCCCTGTTTCAGGTAACATACTTTCTAACATTACACTGGTATGTAACTCTCGAAGCCAACATGCGGGAAAAGCAACCGTCAATAGACCCTTACAATAGTAAGTTTTGTTTTCACGAATTGGTAGCTTGTGACGATGCCGTCTCAAGCTACCAATTTACCAACCAAGCGCAAGCACGAGCACTTTTATCGTCATCCCACTTTTTTATCACCCTTTTCTCCGGTTCCTGGCCACCTACTTTGAAATTTTGAATGGTTCTTTAATTTGTTTTCTTCTTCGTCAGTCTACTTTTCTTCTTTCCGTCGCCACTCTCTACTAAATTTCCGAAGCGAGCACACGTGCTCTTCACATAAAATTCTGACCAGCTAAATCATGTAACCTAAGTGCTTGTAAAGCATAATATTTGTAGTACTTTTGAAAATCTTGTAACTGGAATGCCTATAAGCCATATTTGTAGAAAATACAGGCCCTTTTGTGGTAAGTTCCTTTTATCATAACCTGTATTTAAGTAGGGAATGTTTTACACCGTTGTACCTGTTTTCATATCATCATGTTTTGTTACAGCCTTTACGTCTTTACCTGTTCTTTTCCCTTCCTGTACTCTTTATTTCTACTAAGTTTAATGTGGGCCAAGAGTTAAAGCTTGTCGCGGGACAAGCTTAAACTCTACATATTTCTAAATCGACTTTCTTATGCAAGCTATGTCAAAAACAATAATAAAAGATAAAATTGCTTATAGCGAATTTTTTTCAGCTCTTTTATGTTTGTATAACGTAGGAGTATTCCTAAATCTTCCAATTAACAAAGTCAGGAAACGAAATCGCGTTCTTTTACAAATCACAACCATTTGACGAATAAACTTTCTTTCTTTATCTTGCGAACGTAGCGTGTCGCTTGCTATCTCACGCGAGGGGCGTATGTAACGAATGTTGTGGCATTCATTCAACTCTGCTTGTATATGCTGCCCTAGTACTTATTACAAATTATGTAACGATTGGCTCACTCTATCTAGTTTTCGCAATTGGGTAGTTAGTTAATAAAAGTATTATTTATATTATATTACTATTATTATGTACTATTTATATTTTTTATTATATTAGTACCAGACTATTGCAAAACAGTGGAAATAGGCAGTCTGCTAATTTTGACTTGTCCTAACATATATTTTATCCTCTTGTACTTTGTCACTTTAGAAATTTGACCATCATTCATTTCTGCTTTAAGTAGATAATATAAATACATCCTAATCAAATAATCTTGTACAAACTGACCTAATAAAATGTCATAAGTTGTTCGAATAGACGGAAGAATTATAATAAAGAAACATTGTTAAAGTCGATCTCCACTTCATACATGGATCAAGTGCTCTTCGCTACAAAAGCGTTCTTATTGTAAATGATGTAAAATTGCTTTTTTTTTTCAGAAATGCCCATGAATCCGGCTTGCATCAAAGTATGCTCCAAAGAGGAATACTGGAAGAGAGTCCGAGGCATCAAGCCACCAAAACCTCCACTTCCACACATAGGACACGGCAAAATTATCTACCTGGTTAAAGTTAGTGTAATTCATTTACATACGATGCGATAGCAAAACTCTTTGTGGTTTCAGGGAGCCTAGTACTTTGTAACTCTTTTCATTTATGAATAAATTTATGATGCCTTCTTCTATTGCATAGAATATTTATTTAACGAGATCCACCAAAATTTTGTTTAATATGAACGGCAAACAAAAATAGGAGTACCTGTTAAACATATTGGAGAATTTGGGAAAGCATGAAAATTTTTGGTTTAGATAATTGACACTTTCTCTACAAAACAATACAAGTGCATAAAACGCGTGATTTCACCCGAGACGAGTATGTCTAAGTAAGGATACTTAAGTCGAGGGTAAAATGGGTTTTATGAACGAGTTATACACTCTGCAAATTAAACGCAATATTACAAATAAACGACGTATTTAATTAAAATTTAATGTAAAATTATTGTTGTAAGTCAATGGTAAAATTACAACAATTAAACATATTTAATGTGATGGCTTTTTTATTTATGCACTAGAGCATAAAATCCTATTTTATGCACCAGAGCATAAAATCCTATTTTATGCAGGCTACACCCAGCATAAATATGAACTTCAAGAGCATGAGAAGTGAAAATTTTTAATATTTTTATTTAAATTTGAATAGTATTTATTATTTATCTTTTTCAATCTACATAAATAAACTATACTCGTTTACAATTCTGAAGAGACCTCCTCGTAACTTCATCATTATTAGTAATCACGGATGCATCATTCCGTCTACCTCCTCGGCAGGCTGGCATCCTGGCCGGGTCGCTGTATTGGACTGTGCGACAGGGAGTGTGGGGCGATCAACAGGACGTCACAGAAACCATGCGGCGTTGGCAAGAGTACATCCGAAGCATTAACACGAGACGCCCCCCTGCGTTCGACAAATGCGGCAATGTTATTGTAAGTCATACTCAGCTTTATCACATGCGCACAAGTATTAAATTCGTCCTTATAAAATCTTTCACGCTATCGCTGTAGTAACCTGTGGTGTGCTCATGCGATCCTGGTATTTGTAGTTACGTCACCAGTCGATGGTCGCTAAGGTTACCGGTAAATACCGTTGGGTAACGATTAGGGGTTAAATGCACGTGCTACAAAAGTCTTTAATTATATTATGACATTGCCATTTTGTTCAAAACAACTTGGCAAAATCTTCCAATATAGTTTATTATGCGGATGCGAATGTAAATACCGTAAAAAAATATGTTCTGCTATTTATTATATCCATTTCAAGCATTAGAATATTAGAATATTATAAAACAAGTACTAGTATATTTATTGGTCTATGACCTATTCAATAAAATTATCACACTAACATATAAATAAAATAATTATGCAATAAATACTTTCAAATGTTTTAGAATACAAATCTCATTTCACCAGTGACTGCCCTATACGTCCAAACCAAATGTAATGAGTAAATAAATTTTAGGCTTGTTTTATGTATTTCAAATATTTCCCTACACAAGCACACAGGTGCAAAATGTCCCACACTATCATAGTAAAATTCATGTATTGACGTTATCTGTTCGCTTGTAGTCTAGGCATGGCCCGTGAAAGCTAAATATCTCCTCTCGCATTCTGTCGCCTTGGTATTCGGAGGCTCTACTTCATAGCCGCTTGGGCTATCCGAATCGATCGTAGCGCTAGACAACTAACGTCCAACCTCTTAGAGCGCTCAGCGCGAATTGCCAGATTCGCAGATACACCAACAAATTTATTTCAGCGTATCTCAATGTTTCAGAACCGCGGCGTTCGGCTTTCGGCCTTATTGTAGTGGCTCAACCTAGACACGTGTTTGTGAAAATTTCTGTGTTCCTAGTAGGTGTATGCCACGCTCAGCGGACGATGTGTCGGAGCGGAGTTGCTCATTGTTCCGCGACGTATGTAAAACGTGTATACGGTTATGTGAGCCTGGTGTCCACACGTCTGTTACATACGAGGGACGCCGTTCCTTGCACACTGTATTCCATTCATTCGACTTACACACTGTTTAAATAAATACATATGAGTGGTATTCGACTACAGGTACGCATGCAGTGCACATATAAGGATTTGTGTATAGGGATAATGGGGATAACACATTATAAACAGCCAGCGACACGCGTTGGAATGGTTTTTTCTCTGGTAAAATAATAAATAAAGCAGTCTCTCATGCAAAGGCCAAAGTCAGTTTTAGCATTAAACAAACGTGTCATTGGAATCCTGGTAGCAACAAATACCGAACCAATTATCAAAGATCCGCGTATATTATTCAAATCCCTCTTGACACCACTAGTGGTTAAAGCTAGAGGGAGGCAGGGTGGTCTATTGTGGTGGTACCGAAGTACAAACGCCTACTATAACAGGGACGGAAACAGCTTCCTTCGTTGATAGTTGCCTGGTACAATTGGGTCATATCATTGACAGTGTTATTGCAATGTTGATCAGTTGAAAACGTATGCGGTTATTAACACGGAATAATTTCTATTACTCCATACGTTAATTTATATTTTAAACTTCCATTTTTGTAGTTACTACTTTTGTCTAAAAATACCTACCGTATGTGCGTCCTACAACCATAGACCCCACTAAACAAAGGACAGATATAAGTCACATAAATACATTGCTCTACGCGTATATTTTCTAGGAAACGTATTCACAAGTGTCCTAGAAAGTATGTAGAGCAAAGTACTTTAAGTATTGACTTTGAACTTTGTTATCATTTCTAAGCTATATTCTTTTTTTCACAGTTAAAAGAGCAAGACAGCATTATTTCGCCAATATATGCCCTTTACAAGAGCTTCGTCACCAATATTTTTTCAGGTAACTTAAAATTAGTAGATTTTCTACAACTACTTTAATAATACCATTTTGCAGTGACTACACAATGCCATGTTACTTACGAGCGAAAGTTTAGTACAGAGCATAATCGATAAATAAAAACTTAAAATTATCCATTTTGGAATTAGTAGTTCATCAAATTACATAATTAAAGCAATTGTTGCAACGTCTGTGAACAGCTAAAAACTAGTTTTTTCAAACATCTATTGTATACAGGGTGTAATAAAACTATTTTTTAATTGAATAAAAATCTAATGACATAATCAATTATTTGGTCAAATGTGAGTTGTCCATAAAAATGAATAAAATTGATAAAATTTTATTTAGTGCTGATCGACTCAGTTTCATGTAAGAATCATTTCATTGTATAGAACGAAACAAATCGGGACAACAGAAGTGGATCAATTTTAATTTTTTTTTAAGTCACACATAATCGATAACATTTTATTAAATTTAATCAACTTCTGCTGTCCCGATTCTTTTCATCCAATACAATAAAATAATTCTTATAAGAAACTGAGTCTATCAGCGTTAAAAAAAAAGTCAATTTTATTCATTTTGTATAAAAAACATTTGATTAAATTTGATGTTATGTAGATGTAAAATGGTAGCGCAAAAAAATATGCGAATAGTAATTTATAGAATCGTAATTATGCCCAATTTATGGAATTTTTAAACGAAGAGAAATGTATCTTTTTCATTACGAGATTAATTTCAATAATTTTATGACCACTTAGTTTCCCTACACTGAGGTCTTAATTTTTTACTCTCTCAGGTATATACAAGTTTCCAGTTGTAATCAAGTGTATGTACATCGACTATCTAAACGAGTTAGAGAAAAACCGCCGAGATGCAAAGGCCAGACGATAAGGAACAGCTGCCAATCGTACCAACAAATAAATTTGATACAACTTGTCCTATTTTTTCGGAATCTACTTATTGCATTACGGTTATGGCAGCCTACAGGCTAGTAGGCGTCGTTTAGCCCACGAAAGCACTGTGCAATGTTTTAAAATAACTGTATTTTAAAATTTAAATAATGCCAAAATTTTAAAGTTTAAAATAGAGCAAAATATTAAAAGTGCTATTGGTGTACAAAGTGCAGTTTTTATCGCAAGTTACATTCAAAATATAAAATGCAGGCACTGACGCATGATATCAATCATACTTGATATTATATCATTTTTGAAAGGTATTACGAGGAATTCACACTGTAAACGCAGTTAGGTATTTTAGTGTAAAATAGAGCATTTTTTTATTATCTACTTTGAAAATAACAACATAACAGCATTCTGCTGAACACTGCGCTTCTAGTATGAATTTAGGATGGATGGTACTGTAAAGTAATATTGTAACTCAAGATAAGAATTAATTTCTTTAATCTAAAAACATACCGTACGATCACCTGGATTTGAAACACGTAATGTTTAAAATAGTGTTCCGGGAAGTTCACCTCTATCATAATTAAAGACATTTGTACTTTAGGACTTTACCTCATGGATGTCGTGGTAAATTTTTCTGAATATGTCTTACATTGTTGGTCTTGTAATATATTTCACTACAAAGCTGAACGTGCGTCTTAAAAAGCCATTGAGGGTTTTTTCTCTCTACCTTTATTTTTAGCCAATCAAGGCAAAGCCAAAATGGAAGGTAATGTTACTTAACTGTTTGTGGGCATGTCCAGTGTTCTTAATAATCTTAGTACAGAGTACTAAAAAAACCGACCTCAAAAGTACGTGGAATTACGTCTATTTGCTAAGTTTTATTGAAATATCTCCTAGTTCGCCACTATACAGGACTTGACACTGGAGATAATAAAAATCGGTTCTCACTACTCAAAGTATATTGAGAGAAAAACGCCTTGAATTGGAGAAATAGCAAAATCAACCATTAAAATAATTGCTCCTAAATTAAAGTTTAGGCGCTATTTATACAAATGAATCTTCATGCGTGAACAGTCACCCTTAGAAGTGGATGATTTTATTCAAAATGAAATGGGACAACTATGGAAGTACCCCCTTTCCAAAAAAAAAAGAATCATGAAAATCGGTTCACAAATACCGGAGTTATCGCGTAACATACATACAAAATAAAAGAACATACAGTCGAATTGAGAACCTCCTCCTTTTTTGAAGTCGGTTAAAAACCAGTATAAACGTGGTAGTCGATATAACGCGCACACTCATAGCCAGGGAAACCCTGTATCGCGGATGCCATGTACACACACATAGACAAACCTGTAATTATATAACCTACGAAAGAAATAAATGTTGGCCATATAATTATTCATCCCGGCCCGGGAATCGAACCCGGGACCTCTGCGTGGCAGTCATACATGATAAGCGTTCGAGCATAAAGGCAGTTAAAATATGTTGTAACAGGTGAAAGATTATAACAGTATTCGAGATTTTTGTTATTGATATTGAACGGTAGATCTTTCAAATTAGCCACTTGTGGCGTGGCGGCCGCACGTCTGTAACGTTTCAGTAATTTTTAGTTTACTAATTGTGACCGCAAAAGGGGCGCGCGCATGTCACGACCGTGGCACTGCAACTGTGCTTCTAAATATTGTATGAATATTTATAACGGCGCGGCTACAACGTCACAGTGGCACCACTGTATCGCTTCTGCAAGCGTCTAATCTGAAGACGCCCTTAGTGTGCTGGTGGCTGCAGGAATACATTTTTCTAAGTGAAATTAAAAACCGTAAATGGGGAATTTGAAAAACTTGCAATTTGATAATTTACCTTTAAGTTTATACTCCCATTTTGATAGCTATCGCAGCAAACTTTAAAGTTCATCGCACACATATACCAGGTGAGTGTTAGCAATTTTGAGTTACGTTTACAGCAGATTCTTGTTAGGGCAGTAGCGCCATCTTGTTGAAAAATGCGACATGAAACTGTTTCAAACTGTTTCGGATTTAATGAAACCGTTAAATTTTTCATTACTGTATATTTATTGTTTAATTTATTACTTAATATTTTTAAAGATATTTTCACTTATAATAACTACTTAAGATCTTTCTACACGTCACACCCCTCATGGAAGAATGGCATAAGTGGAATTACGTCAAATATGTTTATTACTTCATTACATACAGAAAAATATAACCTACATCCTCTTGTATCTTATCTCCAATTCGTGAGGCTGTGGGTTATATTTTTCTGTATCTAATGGAGCAATAAACATATTTGACGTAATTCCGCTTACGCCATTCTTCCATGAGGGGTGCGATGTATCCTCATCTTTTGCAGGTCCTTCAATCTTCTACTCTTTTCATCTAAGAAAATATCAGTTTTTTTAATTTTCAATTTTAACGTCTTGGAACTTAGCTTCCTTTTTCAGTAAACTGATTCAATAGAAAATTGACGGGTGTGGTGGTGGTATTGTCAAAGTCAAGTAATCTTTATTTCATAGGTAAGCATTATTACACTTGAAATCGTCACAATGGTTAAACTCTACCGCTCATTCGTAAGACAGATTCCCCTGAGAAGAAGGAGCAAGAAACTCTAGGGGTTGCTCTTTGTATATATACATTTCAACACATTTATCACTACAATATGTAATTTAAATACCTTAGATCGTGAATACTTGAAAGAGCTAAACGGGTCGCTACCACGGATTTCTGTCAACCAAGTACGCAGAAGTTGTATAATAAATAACCTTTAGTCATTGACTTACAATTAAGTAAGTAAGTCAATGCCTTTAGTGTAAAAATTTTGTTTCACAATAGTTTTGAATCTCGTAAATGGCAAATTTTGAATATAAATCGGAATCTTATTATAGAAGCGTATACATTGCCCCTTACATGAATTTGAGACTTTATGAAGACGACTGTCAACAACAGCTAGTTTATTTTTATTCCTCGTATTAATGTTATGTCTGTCACTATTGTTCATAAAAATATTAATATTTTTCTTAACATAAATAATATTTTCATAAATGTACTGTGACGTTAGAGTAAGAATGTTAGTCTTTTTAAATTTATCTCTCATAGGGTCGTATTCTTGAACTCTACTCAATGCTCAAGTCAGGATTGCACTGGAAACACAAGCAATGGAAATACGACCCTAATGGCAGGGACTTGAGTATGATTTCGAGTGCTTTAAACCGTACTCAAATCTTGACTTGAGCATTGAGTAGAGTTCTAGAATACGACCCATAGACACTCTGGGGCCCAGATTGTAAATTACCCGAACCGCACGTTTCTGCAGGGCTAATATCGGCAGATTCTATTAATATGTATTAAACCTTTTACGTCACACACTATGTATAGATCTTAAATATTATTATATTAACAGCCTATACACAGAAATAAAAAACACTACAAAAAACTACAGAAATAAAAAAGTACACAATTCCTTTTTTTAATTTATTTTTATTATACTTATTTCCATCGTACAATTATTGACCTCCGACTGACGCGCGATTGATGCTCTTTTGCAATGCATACAATCATCGAGTAATATAAGCAGAAATAGAGACGAAATGTCATTTAATTTGTTTGAAAACTATTCTGCCAAATCATTACAGTGACAACTGCGCTCCGATTGGCCAGTCCGTATTCGAAACAATTGACGGGTGACGTCATTGTTTTACTTGCTTAGCTACAATGGATGAAAATTTGAAAATTACATATTAGAATATTTAATTTCCTATGAAATATGATTCCCTTTGTTTTGTAATTAGATAATTTGCTGTTTTTCCCACACTACTGGATGGAATATTACCTTTATTACAATAAATACGTAATATTTTTGGAATACACGGAGACGTACACACAGGTCAGTTGTTGGCGCTGTACTATTTCAGCTTTCTAATTTGTGATTTCAGCGCATACGAGAGTTGATATTTAAAAGTGATAAAAGGCCCATTTGCGTGATGAATTACCAGGGATGGATGGCCCTTTCGTCTCTATTTTTGGTTATACACTCGATGCATACAATCGATCTTTAATCATTCACAGGAATAAATGTGGAGAAATAGTTTCGCGTAAACACGACTCTCCCCGAGAATCCTTTGATCTTTTACTGACAAGAAACGGAGACTACACGAATATACACGACACAACACGAACATAGACGAATACTTCCTCTACACTCTCGTATTCGGCAAGTCTCGTGTAGTTTTGCCGAGAATGAGGATGAGAGCAATGAGTAGTTATCTAAGTCCTTTATATGTACTTGTGATTGAACCGATAATTACGCTGAAAAAACAAAGATTAAATAAATAAATAACCTGAACAATAAGAAGACATAAAAGTTTTCTTTCGATGATTTAGAAATAGTAGAAAATTTAATAAAAATGGAAATAGATTACTTCGCTACATCGCAAACCCAGTGAAGATTAACTCGTGCAAAATAACTGCGCTTGTGCTAAATATTGTTTACAAATTATTAAATTAATAAAAATTTCAGTTGTGTTAGTGTTACATATTTTATTATTTTATGCGGAAAAATGACGGGAAAGTTATTTGCATCCAAAAACCGCCTGAATATTCAGGGAATAAAATTAATACTCCATCGCATGGTTCGAAACAGTGTTGAGAGTTCATGTTGGCTCATGTAAAGTACCTAACAGCCGGAGCGTGTGTCTGTTCGTTTTGTGCGCCTGTGCTCGTGGCGTGATATCACACACTTTTAAAAGAAAGCCACATTATCATTCCACCCCACATGTTACGTTTTGAAAGACGTTATTTGTTTTATTTTTCATTTTACGGTACCTACTAAATAAAACCACATGGAATGTGGATCTGATGTACTAAAATAATGTTTTAATATCTCAGAAAGAATTAAAATCACTAAACAAACACTAATAATGTTGAATGTTGTAACCTTAGAATAATAACGCATAGAATGATAGTTTCATATCAAACGAACTGTCACAAGTGAGGCAAAAATCAAATTCATGTAGACTAGTTTTAGTAGTAGGTTA